CAGTGACTTGATGAGATGCTGACATTGAAATGCATTGGATAAAGGGCAAACCTAGAGATTCTTTTGGAAGAAGTAAACAAAAAGGGGAGAGTGTGTTGCAAGTGCAAAGGTATATATATATATATAAGTGAAGTGGGGTTTTCATTAGAAACTCTGGTGAGCTCTGAGCAGTGCTGGTGGAGCTGTGTTGAACTTCAAAGACACCATGTGTTAGAGAACACAGACTACTCTAGAACATAGTGGTTACTAAGATGTTGTCATGGCTTAGTTTCTTGCAGAAAAGAAATTCTTACTGTTGTCTTGAATCTCTTGTTAATAAAACACACTTTCTTCAGTGGTCATGTCTCAAAAATACTGGATATTATGAACTCCAATCTGAATATTTGCTTCAACTGCATTAACAACTAACATAATAAATTGAATAATCTCCCCTCATACTGTGGTCTAGGCTGATTTTTTTAAAGCCATGCTAATAATAGTATTGTCATTCTATAAATTAAGCTCATAGTCTATATTCAACCATGTGTCAAAGCTCATTATTGACTATAAAAGTGGAAACAGAGACACACAATTACAAATTGCCAGTTTTCCAGGATTTCTATGCATCTTGACAATAAAAGTTGAAGTAAAATGAAAGACTTTAACACAAAGTTTTCCACTTAAGTCATTGACAGTGCTTTCTTGGTTTACAGTCTGGAGTCATCTAAAGATCAGACTGGATGATAATTTAGTTTAAAAAAATACAAAAACCCAGAACCTCAAAAAACCCAAAACAACCAACCAACAAAAAGAAAAAAAGGCAACAAAGACACCTCCAAAAACACTTCTTGAAGAAAATAGTAAAGTGAAGGAGAACACTACACATTGCCAGTAACTCTAGTGTAGTATTCGTTTGTTAACTAATATTACTATTGGTTTATACTGAAGTCCTGACTAGTTAGCTCTTGAAAATATTCAGCAGACACAGATTTAAGAGATTTGAATGCTTTACTTTGACCTATAACAACTTCTGACTTTAGTTTCAGTTCAGTATTCGCTAGAAAGAAAAGTCAAGTCTTCCTATTCCTAATTACAGAAACCTTCAAAACATTTACTTTTTGGATATGAAAATTCACATTTAGAGGAGAAAAAAAACCCAACCCAAAACCAACCAAAAAATCTCAAACTCATATTGGTGTTCTGTGCAGACTTTAACCTATTTGAGCTCAAGCAACAGCTCAGTCTCCATTCTCTACAGAAATGAGGTAGGAAAATTAGATCTTTTTTCAGAAGAACCTCCATGTGAGTTTGAGTAATGCCATGTTTGATATATCTGATGTCCATTCATGTGGAAGAAAGCAAACATGACTGCAGATAGGTGTAAACTTGAGGGGACAGACCTGTAAGTCTTGTCTCTGGAGCCTGGAGGCAAAGGTTGCAAAACCTTTTTTGTCCCATTGCTGATGAAGCCAAATCTGGGTCCTGGTGTTGCAGGGGATAGCAGGGGCTAATTTAAAGACAGGCTTCAGATCGTACTGAGCTGATAACCTGAAGCTGTGGTTTTTCTTTACGTCTAAAGTTGAGCTCTGTCTGCGAGAGGTTGACTGGTCTAATGTTGTGGATGAAATATGATGAAATCTATTTTCTGATCTAATGTGTAGACAGTGTACATGTAGAGAGTTCTGAACTGAGTTCTTAGTTACCATGTTTTTGAGGGGCTTGTTGGAATTAAATTTCCCCATTAGAAGGCCATTTAATGCTAGGATGTTGTTTTATTCTTTACAAGCACCTGAAGTCTTTTTTTGAGCTGAATTCTACTCTCAGTTTGAGTTTCCAGAGTTGGAATTACTATTTTATTTTAGTTAGTTATTGGAGCATGTTGTTGCCACTTGGAGTAAATGCCCATGTCTTCGGTTTACTGGATTTCTGTGGGAGTTTTATTGCAGGAAGGATGATGAGTAACTGGGATGTGCACATACCAACCTGTATGACAGTTCCATGGCCCTGTCAAAAGATGATAATACCACTTAATCTAATAGAGATGCTGTCTGATCTGTAAAGCAGTTTTCACCTCCCAGGGAAGGCTAAAGAGGCATTGGCTTCTTTACTTGAGGCAGCCAATGCCTGGTTTACAGTCCCTGGATTCTGCAGAGGAGGTTCAGGCTGTACATGCACACTCATTTGTTGGCCATGCAGCATGTGTATCCCTCTCCCCAGCTGCTTATTTCTGCTCCCTCCATTGAGCCAGCACTAATATGCAGGAGGCTTTGTAGTGAACTGGATCAGGGAAATGATCTGATTGAAAAGTACCACGTTTTTGGTATGAAATCGTGGCCTCAAAGATCAGTCATGGCTCTGGAAATTCCACTGAGCTCCACTCAACCCAAAGCATGTTAAATAAGCTGTTTAACATTAGGTGAGATGAATTACTCCTCTTATTTCTGTTTGCTGAAAATTAATTTCTGCTGTGTTATTTTTTTCTCTGTTGGTAACTGCATGTGCAGTGTGAAAGTGAGTGGGTATGATATTTGAAGTAAGTAGTTATCTCCTGTATAGTTTTGTTGCTGTCCAGTTATTAGTTACTTCTCAAACAGTAATCTTGGCAGAACAAACAATTTCCAGAACTATTTAGAGTATAATGAATGTGTTACATTAGTGAAAGAAAAGCACTGGAGGAAATTGTGAATATGTAATCATGAAGGTCTAGAAAGCAACCAAATAGTTTAAAGCAGAAAGGCTGCATTTAAACAGGGGTGAGTGGTCCTGTTCAGAGACATTGATCTGGAATATGTCATGGAATCACAGAGTAATCAGAGTTGGAAGGGACCCACGAGGAACATTGAGTCCAACTCCTGGCCCTGCACAGGACATCCCCAAGAATCGCATCACGTGCCTGAGAGTGTTGTCCAAATGCCTCTTGAACTTTGTCAGGCTTGGGGCTGTGACACCTTCCCTGGGGAACCTGTTACAGTGTCCAAACACCCTGTGGGGGAAGAACCATTTTCCTAATTTCCAGCCTGAATCTCCCGAACTTCAGGGCATTCGCATGCCTGTCACTGGTTGCCAGAGAGAAGAGGTTGGTGCTGCCCCTCCACTTCCTTTTGTGAGGAAGTTGTATACAGTGATGTGTATGTTATATACTACGCAATGTCTCAAATTCTGAAGGGACAGAAAATCTGGGGACCAAAGAAGTACTGCTGCATGGCTCAGTAAGTTCTCCTTTGGTTTGCCTGGGTAATATAAACCCAAAAATATATTCCCATCTTGTTTTGATAACTTTGTCATGGCTTAAGCCCAGATGGTAACTCAGCCACACACAGCTGCTCACTCTCCCCCCTGCCATGGGACTGGGGAGAGAATCAGAAGGGTGAAAGTGAGAACAGGGAAAGCAAAGACTGTGCACAAGCAAAGCAAAACAAGTGATTCACTCCCCTCTTCCCATGGGCAGGCAGGTGCTGAGCCATCCCAGGAAGGCCAGGCTCCATCACATCTCAGTGACTTGGGAAGACAAATGCCATCATCCAGACGTCCTCCATTCCTCCTTCTCCCCCAGCTCTACATGCTGGAATGACACCACATGGTCTGGGATGTCCCTGGAGTCAGCTGTCTCAGCCGGGTCCTCTCCCAACCCCTCGTGC